TTTAGATTACTAATATAACCCCCTCCCATTTAAAAAGGGAGCTGATCAAAAAAAAAAAAACCATTGTTGTTTAGTTGTGTCAGACTCTTTGTGACCCTATTTGGGGTTTTCTTGGCAGAAATGATGGAGTAGTTTGGTATTTCCTTCTCCAGTCATTTCACAAATGAGGAAACTGAGACAAACAAGGTTAGGTGACTTGCCCAAGGTCACACAGCGAATAAGTGTCTGAGGCTGAATTTGAATTCAGGAAGGTGAGTCTTCCTGACACCAGTCCCAGCACGCTACCCACTGTACCAATAGCTGCCCCTTTTTAAAAAATACTGATTCTCAAATTTGTGCAAGATGATGAGAAGCAATACGGTTTAGGGGACAGAGAGACAACCATTCAGGCAAGAAGCATAGTGTACATGACAGAAGAGCAATTAGATTCTCTTCTGGCCCAAGCAACAGCCCCAATTACAGTGGGATAATAGGCAGATCATTAGGCTTTTAGTTGCCAAGCATAGGGGTTTTTATTTTATCGTTAAGGCAATTGGGAACCAATGAAGCTTCTCAGGAAAGAGAGTGAAAAGACATAACTGCTTTAGGAATATTCATTTGATTAGCTGTATGGAAGATGTTTTCAAGAGGGGAAAGACTGAATTCCATGAGACCACTTAGGAAGCCATTTCAACAGTCCAGGTGAGAAGTGTGACAGCCATGTAAGTGAGGAGAAGGGACAATGTGAGGGATATTATGGAAACATACTGCAAAACTTGACTATTGACTGGATGTGGAGGTTGTGAGGAAGAACCAGGAGGTACCTCTGCTGTCATTGGTCCAGAACAAACATAAGGGAATCTCAATGATAGCATAGCTGGCCAGTGGTGCTCTAGTCTCAGTTTGAAGCCTCCACCAGCTCCTGGGACATCCATTCTACTTTGGCATATCTGTAATTGTCAAAAATTTTTTGCTTGTTTTATTTTGTCTTGTGCTGCCCCTAGCTTCCAGACTCAATTTCTCTCATGACAACTTTTATCCACAGCTGTTTGTACTACCATACAGGGCCAAGTAGACCATCACCTGATACATCCTTCCAATGATAGGTCCTCAAAGGCCCCTTAGACTGCTATCAGCCCCAGTCCCTCTCTGCCTTACATTCTTACATTCAGGCTAAACATCCCATTTCTCCAACTAACTCTTGTGTAAGGGAGTTGGTGTTTCAGAGACCTTATCACAGATAATAAGCTAATTACAAACATTCTGCCACACCAGGAAAGCTCATTTAGGCATCTGGGGCCATAACTCATAGAATGCTTACAACAGAACTAATGCATACCCCCACGACATGGGTGAGGGCACCCCCTCCTCCTTGCCTCTTGTGATAGGTTTTAGATTTTGCCAAAAGGAGACAAAAGGATCCCAGGACTTGATTGTCCCATTTCCTTGGCAGCTTCCTGGACCCCTAAGGAAGCAGCTAGGTGTATATTGCATTCAGTGCTAGAGTTGGAATCAGGAAGACCTGAGTTCAAATCAAGTCTCCCAACTGTGTGACATTGGACAAGTTACTAAAACTTCTGTCTACCTCTCTGTTTCCTCACCTGTAAAATGCAAACACTAATAACACTAACTCTTGGTAGATGGATAGCAAATGAAATAATATTTGTAAAATGCTTTGTAAATTATAAAGGAATGTATCTTCTAGTTATTATAGCTACCATTATTATTATCAATATTATCTAAGGGCATAAGTCCCACCTTCATAAAGTTGGAGTCCTCCTTCTTGGTTCATTTCTGAAGACCACATAAGTTATCATCTCTTCATCATATCCTGCCCTGATCACCTACTTCAGCTGAGCTTCAGTGCCCTACTATGCTTTATCCAATGCCATTCAGTCATGGGATAAGACCCTTCATACCTCCTAACCCGAGTCTCCTTTTTCAAGAGTATCTACAGTCATGACATTCCATCCTCCTTCTTCATGCCCTTTCACTCTCTGGTCCCTATCCCCAGAATTCTCTATCAACTCATTACCATCTCTTGCCCTTTCTGGCCTCCTTCAAAACTCAGCTCTAAACCCTCCTTCTTCAAGATACCTTTCCCCATCCCATCCCCAGAGGCTAATTTGGTTCTTCTAAAATGACCTTCCATCCACTCAGTAAGTATCTGGTATGTACCTAGTTTTCCATGTTCTCTCCCTCATCAGACTATGAGCTCTTTGAAGAGAAAAAGTACATCTTTTTTTTTTGCATCCCCGATGCTTAACACAGGACCTGACACCTCGTAAGTACTTTATAAACCCTTGTTGATTTGCCTAGTTCATAGCAGCAGCAATAGTAGTATTCTTACTACTACTATTTCTTAGTAACATATTTAATTATGTAATATTTTAACAATCTCATTTAATATAATTCTGTAACTAATACAATTCTATACTATTTATTTAATATTTAATACTTATTTGCAAGAAATGGTAATATACATGACTATGTGTTTAAAGTGTGTAAGCACTTTATAATCTCTGTCACTCCTCTTCCTCTATGTCTCTATGTCTTGGTCTCAATCTATATCTTAGCTTTAACAAAGGGATATTTACTGAAGAATATAGCAAGAAGTGAAGACAACACAGTGGATAGAGTGCCAGGCCTGAAGTCAGGAAGATTCATCTTCCTGAGTCCAAATGTGGCCTCAGACACTTATTAGCTCTGTGAACTTGGGCAAGTCACTTGGCATTGTTTGCTTCAGTTTCCTTATCTGTAAAATGAGTTGGAGAAGGAAAGGACAAACCACTCCAATATCTTTGCCAAGAAAATCCCAAATGGGTCATAAGGCATTAAATATAACTGAACAGCAACAAAGAAATATAGTCATTTCTCCCCAGGGCCTGGAGTTTGGGGGAACACATTCTCACCTATACCACCTAGCTCTCTGGGGACAGTAGGCTCAAAGTAGTTCCTACATAGCATTCTCTGGAGTTAACTTCTGAATGTTAATAGATGGATAGATGACTCCTCATATATTTTACTGCTCTTCTTGACCAGAAAGATTTGCTTAGGACTTGACACTTTACCATCTGACTTCTCAGCACAGACTTCAACTTCCAGATGTATGGTGGGCTCATTCTGACCTTTCAAAGTTCATAAGATTGTAACCATCTTCAATCTCTTTCACTTAAAGCAGGAAAACACAGAAACAAAGAGACAAGTACCTAGGCCCATATTCACTGGCCACGTGTTGGTCCCAGACAGGGAGGGAAGGCCCAAGTCCTCTCCCTTCACAGATAGTTCCACTCACCTGAACAGCAGGCCTCTTCCTGTGGCAGTCTAGGGGTGCTGGGAACCCCATCAAGGGCAGAAGACAGAGGTCCTGTCTCGAATGAATTTGACTCAAGCCTTCTTTCAGAGACAAGGTTAATTAAAACACCAATTGGGGTGAGAGAGATGCCCAGTGAGTCTGCACTATTGGCCAGATTTTAAGAATCTGAGCATTTGTGACACTTGCATTGAGAAGTGGGCCTGACTCTTAAGGAATCTGAACGATATAATGGTGGGCAAGATGGACTTTATATATAGAAAGATGGTGGGAAGATCTGAATGTGATCAAGGAGGGGCCAAGTAGTCTGGGGTTGACTGGGAAGTAACAGAAGGACCTGAAAGGCCCAAGTGCCCCAGGTGAACTGCAGGAATCTGGACCTTGTGGAAGGGGTCTAGTCTAGGGTGGGGCCAAGTGCAGACAATGATCGCTGAGCTAGGTTAGAGGTAAGAGAATAGGAGATTGGGGCAGGGTCAAAGCCACAGTGCAAGGACAGTTGAAAGGATTATGAGAAGAGGCTCTGGAGAACACTAGGGTCATATGGGAGAGTTCAGGGGAAGCTAGTGGGGAGGGTTTCCAGGACCTATACCCCGTCACTCCTGTGGGCAGGAAAAAGCTAAAGCAGGAGATATTACCCCTTTCTGCAGGGCCCCCTCCCCCCACCATGTCTGTTTGAAGGTAACTATACTAAAGTCAGGTATAGAAAAAAATAGACTCATTGGTAGTTTTAAAAACTGCCATTCAGTAAGATTACAGAAGCAAAACCTTTGAAAACAGGTTCAGCACAAGGCAAAATAGGGTAGAGTATTTTAGCCATTAACATCTTACTCTCTTGTATCCTGTCATACCCATCACTCCATATAAAATGTGCTTATTATCTACAGCGTCTGTCTGAAACTTTGAATTACAATGTAAAATCTCACTAAATTTGCATTAATCGAAGGGAAAACTGATTTAATGAAATGTTGATTTGACACTATCAGGGTATACATAAGTATTGAGAGACAATATGTATTAATGCAAAGAAGGCTGGATATGACAGCAGAAGACCTAGGTTTGAATTTCATTCTTCTCCTGTCTCAAGTCAATAAACATTTATTAAGTGCCTGTTACAAAACAGGCATTGTGCTAGGTGCTGAGAATACAAAGTCAAAAATTAAACTGTTCCTACCCTCAGGGGGCTTATACTCTATGACAGGGAAATCACATATGTAGAAGTAAACACAAGGTATATACAAAAAAGTACAAAGTAATTTCAAGAGAGAGAAAGGGCCACTAAGATGTGGGGAAAGCCTTATGTAGGACGTAGAACCTGAGTTGAGCTTTGAAGGAAGCAAAGCCAGAGATTCTTTAAGGTGGAGGTTGGAGGTACAAGTCCATTAAACTCTCTGGGTCTCAGTTTCCTCCACTCCAAAGTGAGGGAGCCAGACTCCCTCACAAAGGGCTTCCCCATCCTTTGCTATGGGAACAGATGGGATCTAACAGTGTTTATGACATCATCAGGTCTGAAACATTGGCTTTTGGTTTGCAAATGTCACTGCCTAACAAATGGACAAGCCTCCAAGGCAAGTTAGGGAGTAATGTCTGGAAGTCTCTATCAAGGACAATGGAAAAGTTTATGGTTTTTTTTTTTTAATTCAGGGTGGTATAGTGGAGAGAGATCTGTCCTTGAAGCTAGAAAGATCTGGATTCAAGTTGTACTTCTGACACATCCTGGATGTGTGACCCTGGGTAAGTCACATAATCTCAGTGTTCTAGGAAACTCTTCAAGATTTTGAGTTACAGATAAGATGCTAATCTGCATTAGTGGGGGGAGTTTACTCACCAAGGAAGTCCCTATACCAACGAAATCACAGGTTCACACTCCATTCCTAACTCTGCATTCAAGCTTTTAACATTATCCCCTCTTCCTGTCTCTGGTGAACCAGGGAGCTAGCCCGTCCCTTAAATCAGCACTCCACTCTATTCTGGGCTCTTCTATTTTGCCCCATAATGACACCTTTTTGAGAAGAAGTCCCACCATTGTTCTATGAGTACATATTTCTCTTGAAGATTGAATGTTTAATCTACTAAGATCCACCAGAACCTTGATCCAGAAAAATGAATGGAAGTCTTTTCTTCTGTCCAGATTCCTGTCCCATCTTCTGGATTTCTGGATTGTTCACCCATCCTCGTGCAGATGCTTCAGGCTTGGGGATGTATGCCCTAAAAAAAAAAAAAAGATAAAGCTTTGGCATGAATGAATTTCCCAATAAGTAACTATTATGTGAATATCTTAATTAGAAATTAATGAACCCGAGATCCTCATAAGAATAATGGTAGTCAGTTTTACTGACTCACTTTAAGTACATCATTTTGTAAAGACTCACTCATGGAAAAAGAGATAAGATTCACGGTATCAATAAAGTCCATGACAGGAGGGGTAGAGATTTAAGGCTAGGGGAATCCTGAAAACACAGGGAAGGGGGACTTCATGGTAGAGTGGATAGCATGCTGAACTTGGGGTCAAGAAAATGTGGTTGAAATCCCATTTCTGACATGTACTTAACTGTGTGACCTCAATAAAAAATTCAGTCTCTTTGACCTTGTGTTTCCTCATCCTTTAAAGGTCAATATTCGTATCGAACATAGTTATTAGAGAGCATTACTCGAGAATAAGGTGTTAAAGGAATAATTATACTAGAGTGATTGCTAACATCCACAAAGTGCTTTAGGGTTTTCAAAGCGATATCTATTATCTAGCTGTGTGTATGTAGAATCTGCTTTGATTCTCACAACAGCCTTGTGAGGTAGCTGTTATTACTGCCCCTCTTTTACAGGTAAGGAAACAGGGTTGGAGGATTTAGGTGGCTTGTCCCAAGTCACACAGCAAAATTAGTGACTAGGTTGGAATTCAAACCCAGGCCTTCCTGACTCCTTAGGCCTGTACCTCATTCACCTTACCACTTTAATGATTACAAAGCACCTTTCTCAAGGTGTTTGGGACTCTGAAGAGAGCAAGAGAATAGAGCAAGTGCAACAGGAGATGTTCCACATTGGCCCGAATCCATCAACCAGGGATTTTGTGGGCTAGAAGGCTTATTCTTGCCTTTCTTCTTCCTTGGCCTACTGCTAAATGCTATCCAAGACCCAGCGTGCGGGGACTATGGACGGGCGTGGGGGCAGTCACAGGAGACAACCTAGGCTTGGTTGGCATTATTTGAGCCCTGTCTCGGTGTCTGTTCTGTTCATGTCATACAAATATAGAGGCGGTGGCTGTTCATTAAAGATCAACTTTATGTGACTTTTCTAATGTTTATGAAATGCCTTACATTCATTGTCTCATTTGGTCCTCATAATGAGAGATCTGTGTTCAAATCTCACCTCAGACACTAACTACCAAGTCTGGTAGTCTCTGGGCAAGTCATTTAATCTCTCGGAGACTCCGTTTCCTCATCTGCAAAATGAGATAAATGAACTAGAAGACCACTGAGGTCCTTCAAGCTACAGATGTATCATCCTCTGACTTGTCAAGGGTCACACCATTGATGTCACAGAGGGATTTGAACCAGGTCTTTCCTCCTCCAACTCTAGCATTCTATCTCCCTGCTTAGAAGTATTATCTCCTAGGGAGAGTTCACCCAGACTTCTGTTACCTGAGATGCAGCCAGGATTTGTGTTTGAAAACAGGAAAAGGAAATACCACTATGTGAAATACTAGGCTCATTGCTGCCTTTAAAACATGAATTTTGCTGTAGCCCTCTAAGACTGCTAATGTGACATTATAGATGTATACTCGGGGCCTCATGTAAAAATGGGGTGACCCTTATTACAGTCGTGGTCATTCAAAGTTGTCAAAGGATGGAGGGAGCTGAATCCAACAGAGAAGGAAAGGGGATTTTTTAAAAAGCACACCAATTAGAGATGGAAATAAGAGTCCCCTAAACAGAATCTAGTCCAATCTCTTAACTTTCTAGGTTGTGAAAGCCAGACAGGAGAAGGACCATCCAGGTGATCAGCTCAAATCTAGGTCTCTTCTCAGTACAAATACTGTCTCAAATGAGTGGAGAGAATACTGGCTCTGAACTCAGAGGCCTGGGCTCAAAGGCTTATCCCCCATAACCATACCTACCACTTGTGTTACCATGGGCACATTACCTAATCATTAGGCCTCAGTTGCATCATCTATAAAATGGGGTCAAGGAGAAAGAAACAGCAAACAGATCCAATATCTTTGCCAAGAAAACCCCAAATGGGTCACATGACTGAAAATGACTGAATAACAATAATAACAGCATGTGGAAGAGGGACTCAACTTGTTCTGCTTGGAGCCAGAGGGCAGAACCAGGAGCAATGAGCGGGAGTTATAAATGGGGTAAATTTAGGCTTGGTGTCAATTCCATCTAACTCTTCATGACCCCATGAATTGTATCATGCCAACACTGTCCGTGGGGGATTTTCTTGGCAAAGGTACTGGAGGGGTTTATCATTTCTTTCTTCAGTGGAGTAAAGCAAACAGAGATTAAGTGACTTACCCAGGGTCACACAGCTAGCAAGTGCCTGAGGCTGGATTTGAACTCAGGTCTTCCTGATTCCTGACTCCAGCCCCAGCACTGAGGTATCTCGCTGCCTCCACGACTAGAAGTGTCCAAAAGTGAAGTGGGATGCTGTGAGAGATGGTAGAGTCTCCCTCTTGGAGGTCTTCAACCAGAGGTTAGACAACCACTATAATTGTGTGTGTTATAGTTGGGATACCTTTAATCTGTGTGTTAGACTGGGGGTCACTGAAGCTCCTTCCAGCTCTCAAATTTTGTGATTCTATGGTTTTTCTCCTCCTAGTCCTTATAAGGAGAGGTAGGGCATACATAGCACATGTACATAGCAAAGCACAACAAATAACAGAATGTGGAAAGTGTATGTGGAGGGGGAAAACGTGCCATTGTTCTAAGTTTGGAATATACTTCTCATGTGGCCTTTAGAAAAGAACATGAATTAGGGCAGATAGGTGGCACCAGCCCTGAAGTCAGGAGGACCTGAGTTCAAATCCAGCCTCAGACCAAACACTTGACATTTACTAGCTGTGTGACCCTGGGCAAGTCACTTAACCCCAATTGCCTAAAAATAAAAATTTTTTTAAAAAGAAGAGAACAGAACGTGAATCATTCAGAATCACTTGGTTAGTTACTTACTGTGTGTACAAATGAGGACCTAGTTGTAGGAATAAGAGGCAGTGGACGGGTTGACTTTGTAATCAGCTAGGGAAAAAGAAGAGTTTGTTACTTTAAGGATGTGACTGCACACCTGGACGTAGTGAATGAAGAAGATGAGTTTTCCAGACAGTTTCATCCTCAAAGGGGGATGGTTCCATATGTGAGTCTGTCCTTTGATGTGCTCTCAACCTCAAAGTTTCATCACTTTCATGAACATTCAGACTTTAATTGACAGTTTATGCCTTAAGGCTGCTTATCTCCTGACACAGAAGTGATGGACTCAAGATGCAGGATGAGACATGCGATTTTGGAAATGGTCAAAGAGCTTCCAAACTAATGAGTGAGACAACAGGTGCGTAAATTGGTCTAACAATTATATTAGGGAAATTAGAAGCTAAGAAAGTTAAGAAGAGAGGAAAAGGGAAGAATGGATTTTGTTATACTTACAGAACAAAGTGGTGGTTTATTACTTTCCATCGGATATGTAGACACAGGTGGACTCATGGGACCCATCTAAATTAAAAAATGGCATGTCAGAAAAAAAAAAGAAAGCAACAGCAGCGTATCACCCACAGATGGATATGGTGCTCCTTCAGAAGCAATACCTGAAAAGCTTGAAAGCTCCTAGACCAAAAATGCTCCGAGTTCAACCTGTAATTCCCACTAATTAATAAAGCCAGCCACCCACTAACAGTAAAGATGAAAGTGCTTTCCCTGTGCCAGGAGCTTAGTATACAAATACAAACATTGAAACGATCTCTGCTCTCCAGATACATATTTGTGTGTGTGTGTTTGTTTCTTTGTTTCTTCCTTTTTTCTTCCATCCTTCCTTCCTTCCTTCCTATCTTTCTTTCTTTCTTTCTTTCTTTCTTTCTTTCTTTCTTTCTTTCTTTCTTTCTTTCCTTCCTTCCTTCCTTCCTTCCTTCCTTCCTTCCTTCCTTCCTTTCTTTCTTTCTTTCTTTCTTTCTTTCTCTTTCTTTCTTTCTTTCTTTCTTTCTTTCTTTCTTTCTTTCTTTCTTTCTTCCTTTCTTTCTTTCTTTCTTTCTTTCTTTCTTTCTTTCTTTCTTTCTTTCTTTCTTTCTTTCTTTCTTTCTTTCTTTCTTCCTTTCTTTCTTCCTTTCTTTCTTCCTTTCTTTCTTTCTTCCTTCCTTTCTTCCTTTCTTTCTTCCTTCCTTTCTTTCTTTCTTTCTTCCTTCCTTCCTTTCTTTCTTTCTTTCTTTCTTTCTTTCTTTCTTTCTTTTCTTTCTTTCTTTCTTTCTTTCTTTCTTTCTTTCTTTTCTTTCTTTCTTTCTTTCTTCCTTCCTTCCTTCCTTCCTTCCTTCCTTCCTTCCTTCCTTCTTTCTTTCTTCCTTTCTCTGAGGAATATTTAATGATGGTCTCCAGGATCCTCTAATATTCTTAAGCACAACATTGACATAACTCCTATTTTAGCTAAATCATGTATGTCCCATTACATGTAACTGACTATGTACTGTGTTTCAGATACCATCCAGCCACCCACCAGGATACTAGAGGCTGCCCAGTGTCAGTATTTTGACATCCAGTTTGTTGCCATGAAAGCTTCCCCACCTCCTTCTTGCTCTAGCGTTGGAACTGTAATCATGTTAATGATACTATTACTTCTGGAAAAGGCATAATGATGGACAAGTCAGTGGCTCCACTCATCATCACCATGACTCCTTAGGTCAAAGCAACTTTTTTTTTTCCTGGCAATGATTGCCTTATATGTATCGCATCTTTTAATTAGAATCTAAGTTCCCTGAAGGCATACTTCCCTGGCTCCCTAGCACCTGCATAATAGAATCCAAACCCCTAACCTTATAATTCGCTGCCATCTGTAGTCTTGCTCTAATTCACTCCTCCTACTTCTCCTCTTTATGAGCCCTACACCTTAACTGGAATCAACTCTGTTTTTGTATGTGTTACTCTCACATCTATGTTTTCCTGTCTGTGTGTCTTTGATCATGCTATTCTTTCCGCCTGAAATATTTTTTCTTCCAGCTTTACCCATTAAAAATCTTCCCGATCCTTCAAAGACAATGGCAAATGTCACCTCCATGAGAAAGCTATCTACGATCACCCAACCCAGAAGCTTTGATCTCTTCTCTCTATTTTTAGCCCTTTATCATGTTGTGCCTGTCCTGTACTTCAGCTTCCACTTTTCCTTTTTTTACCACAGTCTTTTTATAGACACATATATGTACACACAAACATTCAAATGTATGTATATAGGTATACATATACGTATGCATGCTTAATACATAGCAAGCATTTAATATATATATATATATATATGTGTGTATATATATATATACCTATATATATAATATATATATATATGTGTGTGTGTATATATATATATATATATATATATATATATATATATATATATATTGATTCATGATTTGGATAAAAAATGTCCAAGGAGTGAAGGGACAGAGTTCAGGGAGTATGAAGTGGAGAAAAGTCAGGAAGGACAAAGGAATCATAGTACAAACAATGGCTTACCTCATGAGAATGAGTACTTTGCACTTCCTGTTGTCTCTTCATTGGTTTCCATTGCCTTGGTTTGGAGCCTGAAGTGGGGCACGACTGGCTAGGGTTAAAAGTGCTGTCTTATTAAACCATCAGCCATTGTGTATAGCAGAATATAAGGTCCTGGAAGCCAGGGCCAGCTTTTCTTTCTATCTGTATATCCCCAGCACCTGGCAAAATGCCTAGTACATAGGAAGGAAGAACTGGGTTTGTGATTTCATTGATAGACATTTCATTGATATAGGCAATTAGATGATGCAGTGCAGAGAGTGATGCATCTGCAGTTAGGAGGCCCTGAATTCAACTCCCCCTCAGATACCAATTAGCTGTGTAAGTCTCAGAAAGTCATAACCAGAGTCTGACTCAGTTTCCTTATTGACAAAATAAGATTAATAATAGCACCTACCTCTCAGAGTTGTGAGGATGAAATGAAATAAAATTCATAAAGTATTTTTCAAAACTATTATTAATATAGGGAACTTAAGGATGAGGGATCTTCTACCAATGCAGGTTGGCACCTTCTCTATAATGCAAAGTCCTAATTGCTTAGAACACTAAGAGATTAAATGATTTTCAAGGAATTAGAGCCAGGAGTTTAAGTTTGAGAGATAGAACTTGGATCCAGATCTTTCTGCCTCTGAGGCCAACTCTCACCCCATCACTCCCACACCATGTCTTTCCAGTACACAGTACACATTTGAAAAATGCTTTCTGCGTTCTGTCACTCTCATGTCCACTCTGGTGAGTGACTAAATGAGGCAAATGGGAAAAACATCGACAAGGAGTCAAAGTAGGAAGTGTCTGAATGTGTTTGGCTTTTCTTTGTCGTAGAAGACCCGAACTCAATTTTTCGATGTGTGATCCTGGGAAAGTCATTTAATATCTCTTTGCTTTACTAATCTCATCTATAAAATGATTATAATAACACTGGTCCTGTCTACCTTTCAGGGCCAGTGGGGGAAGATAAGGAAAAATGCAATGAAAATATATTTTATCACTGTTACAATTCTCTGCTCCTTAGAAAGTTATTTGTCATCTAAAAATTTAAATCACTTAGTTTCTCTGGGCCACAATTTCCTTGTTTATAAAATTGGGATTATAGTACCTGGACTAGCCCCTTGAAGAACTGCTTTGAGAATCAAGTAAGGTAATATTTGTGGAAAGCCTGATAAATTATAAAATGCTTTATCTACATTGTCAGCTCCTTTAGTAATATTACTTTCCTCTTCACTCTATACATAATAATTCAGTATTTTGGAAGTTGACTTGCTACCATGGTTTGATTTACTCTAATACTCAAAGTACTTTTAGACACATTTATTTTATCATTAAAAAGGGAGCAATATTAATTTTTCTGTGAGAATTGTGTGACCTCTCCCAATTTAGATCACCTTTGGGAACATCACAAAACTCGGGGGAGAATCTCTGGCACAAGGGAAACAGGCATACCTCATATTTTTTTTCCTCTTAGCGGTGCTCTGATGTCGGATGATAATCACAGCAATGATCACTATTATGGAGAGTGCAACCAGCATACCCATCACAATGGAAAAATCTGTAATGTTAAGAATATAAAGGAGAGACCTGAGATCCTGACAACATCATGAAGAAATCTGCAATGTTGAGGACAAAATCAATAAATCTATAATGTTAAGAATACAAAGCATAAATCTACAACATTGAGAATGTGAGGGAGAAATCTCTAATGTACGCAAATAATAAAGAAATCTACAACCTTGATGACAAAATGGAAACATCTAGTTTCAAAGACAGAATGGGGAAACCTATGACTCTGAGATTATAATGGTAAAACCTACACTCTTGAGGACACAATGGGGAAACTGACAACATTGAGAATGCAGTGCATAAATACAAGATATTAAGAATATGATGGAAAAATTCCTATTGAGAACAAACACAGCAGCAAAGACAGGGCACAGCTGATAGGGAACAAGTAATTTCCAATTTTTTTTCCCAAAGCTCAACTCCTGGTCATACCGTAGTATCTCCTTTGTGGTGAGGGATTTAGTCATCCCAGCAAGTGTCCTCTGGGGGACATGGAGATGCAGATTTAGAACTAGAAGGGACTGTGAAGGTCATTTAGTCTAATACTTTCACTTTGAAAATGGGAAAACTAATGATAATGGTGGTAAAGCGGCCTGTCCAAGGAGAAATATCTAGAACTGACTCCAAATCGAAATTGGTTTTTACTGTCTCATATTGCCCGTGTTACACAAGAAAGTGAGGCAGTTTGTGGCTGTTCTCTGTTTCTAGCATTATAGTCTCTTTGTTTCCCCCTCTATCATAGTCTACCCTGTATTAATAATATATTTTTGTAGACTTTTCTACAGTTGCTCTTCTCTAGAAAATAAGCCTAGTTTCCTGGAATGAACACTTGATCCAGAGTCTCAATATTTTTTTAAATCATTCTATCTATAAAAAACCTTGGCTAAGTCCCCTTCTTTGAGTTTCTTTTTTTTTTAATCTGTAAAATAAAGAGAATTATTTATGCACTGACTAACAGGGTGCACAGAAGATACAGTTTTGATTCTGGAGCTAGAAATAACTAAATTAAAGTCCTTCATCTGACACATACTATCTTATGATCTTCTAACTCTCAGTGTCCCCAAAGTGACTCTCTATGACTGTGTTACAGAGGGATCATCAGTTCTTCACTGGGGAAGTCTTCACCCTAGCAATTCATAGAATCAAGGAATTTTAATTCACTGTAGGAGGGAAGAGAAGAAGAAGAAGAAGAAGAAGAAGAAGAAAGAAGAAGAAGAAGAACAAGAACAAGAACAAGAACAAGAAGAAGGAGAAGAAGAAGATGATGATGATGATGATGAAGAAGAAGAAGAAGAAGAACAAGAACAAGATCAAGAAGAAGAAGAACAAGAACAAGAACAAGAAGAACAAGAAGAACAAGAAGAAGAAGAAGAAGAACAAGAAGAAGAACAAGAAGAAGGAGGAGGAGGAGGAGGAGAAAGAGACATAGAAATTGATTATGCACATTAATCATGAAAGAGCATTCATTATCACTGATTTCATACTAGGCACATGTCTAGGGATTCAAAACAAAAGCAAAAGTCTCTACTCTCCTGTTTTTGTATTTCTTTATATCCTCAATGGTTAGCACAGTTCATATCAAATTCATAACAAGATTACTGACTGACTGTCCTAAGGAAAGTACTTTGCAAATTTTAAAGTACTATAAAAGTATATGTTTAGAATGATAGCTCCCTGAGGGCAGGAGATATGTATTTTAATGTTTTTATACCTCTGATATCTAGCACTGGGACTTATCTTTCTTTAGTTGTGGTGGGACTGAAAAAAATGTTTATTGAATTACAGTGAATTACAAACTGAAATGGGTTAAAAGAAGGGAAGGAAAAACAAAACATCCTCAAGCTGTCATCCATGACAAAACCCAAAGCTATCTTGGTCCTGCAGATGCAGAACAGGAAGTGATAAAAACAAACCAAGCAGAACTGTCTAATGACCACATGAGCTAAGTTGTGGAAGCCAGAGAGAGCCTTGGACATGAGTCTCAACAAAGCAATCTAACTGAGATGTTCTCTCCATCTCCCGAAAGAAAAGAAAGAAAGAAAGAAAGAAAGAAAGAAAGAAAGAAAGAAAGAAAGAAAGAAAGAAAGAAGGAAGAAGGAAAGAAGGAAAGAAGGAAAGAAAGAAAAGGCTATACACTCCTAGGTCTTGACATGAGAGACACACCCTAATGTGTGAGATTCATATGCCCTGGAATTCAGAGGAAGCAGTGCAGTGCCTGGCCCATAGTAAGTGCTTAGTAAATGATTATTTTCTCCCTTCCTTCCCAGCCTTTACTAGAAGATTTTTGTCTTTCTACCCTTAGTGGCCAGCAGTGTGCTTCGTTCAGAGTAAGAACTTACTGAATGTTGGCTTGTGTCCCTAAACAAGGGTGTGTGTCATTTTCAAAGTGAGGGGTGATGTGGCTACATTAAGGCCTGGATGCTAGGCTCCTCAGGCTTCATCACACTTCAGAGGGGTGGGGTGTCCATGACACACACACGCAGAAAGATTACAAATCCTTGTTCCGCACCGACTTCCTCATTTCACAGAAGTAGAAACAGAGAGCTAAGGCCAGTTTACACAGGCAATAATTGTCAGGGGCAGGATTTGAACTCCAATCCTCTGACTACATAAGTGGTTACCTTTTCCACTACCTTCCCTTTGCTACAACATTATCAGCAGCACAGGGAAGTGATTATTATCTGTGTGACATTTGCCAAATCACTTCACTTCTCTGGGGATCAGTTTCCTTCTCTATAAAATTAGGGGTTTAGATCAGATGGCCTCTGATGTTCCCTCTAGCCTTAAATGTCTGCTCTTCTGATTTTCTGAACCCCCTGCGCCCCACTCTCCTCATCTGTAAAATGCGGCAGTTGAACTAGAAGACCTTTGGGTTCAGTCCCTTTTGTCTCTAAATCTATGATACTTTGACGTCATGCCTGAGTAAACTACTGTCAACCTAGACAACAACCTTCCTGAATTTATCACAGGAGGAGTCTGCACCATCCAGAAGCACCAATGGCAGGAGGCCCGAGCAATACAAGGTTCTTATTCTCTTGCCAACCACAGGGCAATTGTGAATAACAGAAAATGGTATGAAAGATCATCAACTTAGAACTTCTGAGTGGTAGGCTGAAGAAAGCCAACCTATATCATTGGATTTGGAAACTAGGAGTGATGGTAGAGAGATTGTATCTGCCAGGAGGGTAGAGCTCTGAACGTTTTACTGAGGGAAATGCTTGTTCATCAACTGTGTGATGCTTTGATCATAACAGAACAGGTCAGCTCAGGAATGGTAGAGCTCCCACCACCCACCCTCTGGCAGCTCAGAAGAAGCTGCCTAGAATAAAGGAATCCAAAAGACAAGAGAGAATCTAGAGCAAATTGGAGGAGAGAAATCAGGATATCAGTAAAAAGAGTCACAACAGAACTTGTACCACTGTCAATACCAGTGACCACCCCAGGCATATTCAAAATGCAAGATGTTTGTGTGTGGGGTGTGTGTGTGTGTGTGTATGTGTGTGTGTGTGTGTGTTTGATTATTTGTTTTTCAGCTTCTGTTTGTTTGCTTTTTGCTACTGGTAATGGGAAAGGGTACCCAAAATTCACTGGTCCACGAAGGACACCGTCTCTGAAGATTAGGTAAGCTAACAATGAACACTTAATAAGCACCTACTATATGCCAGGCAGTGTTTGAAGGACACAGGACATTTGTTCAGTCAGTTTTTAGTCTTGCCCAACTCTTCATGAACCCACTTGAGATTTTCTTGTCAAAGCTACTGGAACAATTTGCTATTTTCTTCTCCAGCTCATTTTATACATGAGAAAACTGAGACAAACAGAGTAAAGTAGTTTTCCCAGGGTCACAGAGCTAGTGAATGTCTGTGGATAGATTTGAACTCAGGAAGATGAATCTTCCTGACTTGAGGCCCAGCTTAATAAATGTTTGTTGATTCATTGAAGAGATGGCCCTTCCCTATAGAATCAGGGAGACAGTTATGGATTTTTAAGCTTAAGTTTCCAGATGCTGGAATCCAGATATAGATTTGGGGGAATAAAAGGTAGCTGGAATCACCCCATTTGTGGACTAAGAACTAGGATGATTTGACTGTGGAACTTCAAATTCCTAGTATCTCTATTATCATGGGAGATTTGATAGGTAGCTGTTAAATGGGATGTGTATTTCCATATTGTTGTGACATATACAAAAGCTTGATGTTGTCAGCTCCAGCTATGTAGTGAGTTTAATTGTTAAATTTTCAGTGTCAGTATTTACATCTCAAAAATGAGTAAACAACATAAATCAGGCCTTGATTTTTTATTTTGTTGATAGTGTAGAATTAAGAAAAAATGGAAAAATGTTAATAACTTTGCTTAGCATCTTGCTTGGCATATATTATTTTTGCATATATTTTTGAGAGCCAGTTGTTAAACATTTATCAGCCTAATCCTACATGTGAAGGAATTTGCAATTCAAAAGACTATCCACTTTTATTTTAAGAGTTAATTTGTTTAAGAATTTACTGTTCCTTTCTTTTTCTAGCTGCCAAGTGCAAGAGACCTTGAAAGATGAACAGGCTTCTGCTTAATGGTGTTTAAGAAGGAAAGCTAACCACTTCAATGAAGGGAATATTTCATGAAGTCCTCCAGACCAGAACTATGACCTTAGAGGCTATAGATTAATAAAGAGGCAATGTTACTATCAGTGAAGCATTGACTTGGCAAAGTCCCAGTTTCCTTGTTCACTGTTTATCTTCTGTGGTGAAGATATACATACATACATACATACATATGTGTGTGTATATGTGTGTGTGTGTGCGCTTGTGTGTGTATGTACATATATATATGTATATATATATATATATATATATATATGTATACATATGTAAAGTGCTTTGTAAATGCCAGAAAATAGTGTTATCATTTTGCTTATGTATTTCATTTGTTTTCTTTAAGAATCCTTCTTGCAATTATTATTGGGTTACAAGTAGTTAAGTCTAGAAGACCCAC